AAACTTTCAAAATGAGAAAGTTTTTCCCCCTTTTTACTTAGAAGTTAAGGAAAAACGTGTTTCGGAAAAAAAACTCGCTTAAAAGTAAGTTGATCCATTCTTAAACTCACGGACTATTTAGTGAGGCATAAGATGACAAAGGTAACAATACAAGTAACTTGGAAATGCTTATTGCTTAAAAAAATAAAACTAATAATCAATTTCCATCACTTGTTGACTTTTGGCATTTCCACATCCCACTAATAAGTTTCAGGGAGTAACTTTTGAATTTTGTACTATTTTTGGATTCCTAGAGATGGTATTTTCTTCAAATGTATTTATTATATGCATTGTGCTGAAACTGAATTTACATGGTTCATGAATATAACAAAAACAATGAGGACTGAAGCCATTTTTCTAATGATTAATTATTTAGCAATAGAAGCAACAAGACTATTTGCAAAATGAATATATCTGAACCATGAAGGATGAAGCAGTACATTTTTGCCATCATTGACAAGGAAACTCAGTAGACATTTGATTGCCTACCAATGGAACAGTGAACACATACCACACAACAACAAATTCATGTGCTCAAAATGAAGTTTTCTGATTAAAGTTAAGAACAGGAGTCAGATGATACCTGAACCAGGATATCATCTCCATATTGAATAATATTAGCAACGATGCGAAGGGCATAAAATAACACTGATCGTGAAGGATATCTGCAAACCACTAAACCAAATAAGTACAACTATGAAGTTCAATAACACAACCGAAGTTAAAAATCAAAAAACAAGGAACAATATCAAGTTGGATTTTTTTCCCTTACTGAAAAAGGGCAAACAAAACACGGTAAAAACCGGCATCAATCACAGCTTGGATAATATCCTTTCTCTTGGAAATTAGATAATTTATTACGTGGCATGCATGGTCAATGACTTCTTCATCGCCCGTATGAATCAGATGAAAAAGAGCATGGAGGGCAGGTTTCACCTGCTCAATAATATCCATATGGAATCGGTTAAATATAAAAAGGTCCAGCAGTATTTATATGCATCAAAACCATACAGAAAAGCATTTGGAAGACAAACCTGCTCAAGCTCGAACTCGAACTGAGGCCGTGTATCACAAAATATTGACAATGTCTTCACGGCACTTCTCATGATGGATAGTTCTGTTTTATCATTAACTAGTGCCATTAAGGTGATGAACACTCCATGACTATGGATAAGATCACGAGATCGTGGTGAGTTGAGGGCCATATTTCCTAACATCTCAATTGCCTACATAAAATAGTTGGACATACAGTCAAAAGCAGCCATAAAATAAAATTAAAAGCTCGTATTGGTCTATATCAATTTGTAAAAAGTCGGAAAAACATATCTCTAATATAGGACATAAATGTTAGAGACATAAATGTTAAAGCTCGTGTTGTTATGTCATTTACTGTCAAAAATTGTTATTTCTACGCAGATGAAAAAAAAAACGTAAAAGCAGTCATGGAACAATGTCATTTTTGGCACTAGTTTAAAGGCACAGGTAGCTTGACACGATTAATCAATTGATCCTAGTTTTAATCAATTAATATAAATTTGCATTCCTTTGTTTTGCTCAACTTCAGATTCAGAGAGCCTTTTCGTTTGGCTTCAACTTTCAAGTATTTTTCTTGAGCTAATGTGTAATTTCTTCAATCCGGAATCTTACAATTGAACTATTAGTAGTGGAGTTTTCCACTTGGCGTTTCTCTTCTGTGTATAATCCACTTGTAAACTGTAGTGAAAATACTCCTAATGCAGATTAAGTTTATCTTCGAGCTTATGTCAACATACCGAATAATGCTGTGTGTTTAGTGGTGTTTATGGTTACGTGACAACATATGTGCCATTATAATAGGTCCAATTAAATATGATGATTGTTAGTAAATCCCGAGTGGGGAGGTATTTGGAGTAAAAAAGGAAGGTTTTAAGCTAATTTGGAGCTATTGAAGGCTAATTGAACTACGATATCGATAAGGAGTAATTGGTAGAAAGTTGCAAGTTTCAAAAGCGAAATTCATTTTATTGAAAGTTTGAGGTTAATTTTCACATTTTTGAAATTTGAGGTCTAATTTTCGAAAGATTATTGAGGTTCGAGGATAAATGTGGAAGCTTTTGGAAGTTATAGGATTAAATATTGAAGAATTGGAGAAAAGTGATCAAGCCGAAAGAAAATGTTGAAATAGGGACCAAACCTCAACAATATAGAAGTTGAAGGACTAGCACAAATTAGAAAAGGTTGGTGACGAAGGTGATGAGTTGGTCTTTAAAGAAGGCCTCGAGGAGAGAAGCTTGGTTTGTCGGTCGGGGTCGAAGTTGGAGTCAGATTCAGATAATTGGGTTTGGATTTGTTCTTATTGTTATTCTTGATTTTTTTTTGTCAATTTTAGGGTGGGAGTGGGGGATTTGTTGGCGAGCTTTGGTTTCTTCACTATGGGAAAATGAAGTTGTGGCTGTATCGATTGGCTGGGTAGGGGTATTTTGGATTTGGGGACCTGGGGTGAGGGGGTTGGGGAAGAAAGAGATGGGGTGGGGTTTTATTATTATTTACTTAATAGGAAAAATTTGTTATGCCCAAAAATGTTATTATTTGGTTGAAATTATTATTTTTTTCTCCTCATTTCTGGAGTCAACTATCGGTTTTTGGGTCAAACAAATGGAAATCTTCATTTTGGTATCTAGTGTAGCACAAATAAAAGGTTTGCGTCAAATCTGCTCCTAAATGAGATGTTGGTACCTTGGTTGCAATTTTCCCTCTTTATAATTAATGTTATTTCATTTCTTCCTCACCTTGAATTACTTGGATCATTAATTCGATGATTTTTTAAGAATAAGAATTGAGAGAAGAGTTACTTAATCAGTAAAAACTGAAATTTGGGTAGGAGTAATATACATTTGCTACTTTTGCTGTCATTAATTGAATTTTTTAGCGATTAAATGATTTTGATTAAAGGTTATCCCAATTCACGTACAATTCACGTAGATGCACAATGAATTGACTTAATTGAGTAGGATTGATTTTAACTCGTGAAGCATAAATCTATTAATTCAGGAGAATTAGGAGATTGAAATTAAGGGGATAAATACGATAAACTCATAAATTCTAACACTTTTTGTGCACCAAATGAAACCCTAAATTGCCTATTCATGCATTTTTTTTTTCTTTATATTAACTAGGTGGTTTTCATATGAATGATAATTCAAACTCTTAGGTCTATTTTACTACTTATTTAATTGATATATAAAATATCAACACAACACCTACCTGTTTGCGAAGATCATCCTTGGGAGATCTAAGAAGGCTCGCCAGAATGGGAATCACACCATGATCAATCAACATGTTGATGTTATCAGGTGAATATTTTGAAATTCCTTTTAAAACCCGTGCTGCCTCACACTAGTAAAATGAATAACTTGATGCATTTAGCAGTTGAAACCCATGAAATAAACAAGAAGAAGCAATTAATAGCACATATTTAAACCTGAAGACGCTGGTAATCATCTCTATTAAGAAACTCAAGGAGTCGAGAAACAACTCCAGGCATTATTTCCTTATTTGTGTCTGTGGAAACAAATTAATTGAAAGCAAATGGAATCAAATATCTAAAGAGAAAATAGCATAAACAGCTATAAGATTAATATCAAATTAATTGATTACCTTGCAGAAGTAAAATGTGAAACAGTTCTGTGAACTTGAGTAGCAGGTCGTCATTCGACCCACCTATAATTTCAGCCTCCGCTTTCTTTCTCTGTTTCAATTGGAAGAAATTAGTAATGGAGTTTATATAACAGTTTCTATACTCAATTAAATATGACCCACATAATTTCTTACTTTTAAGATGTATTTCATTATGCAATAAATCACACTTTTTCTTTCAAATTTGATTTGGAAGAGAAGATTCGTGTCTTCTTTTTGTGCTTCTGTAACTAAAGTAAATGTGGTGAAATTATCACACTTACAAATTTAATATCATATTTTCTTTATTAATAAAACATGAAATCTAGAGTGTTTTAAAGAACAAAGAGGAAAAAATGGTAATGCTTTCTAAAATTTCATTACAAAGACCCATAAATTTTCTTGAGATAGAGAATTGGTTAGATGGAATTTACCAATTGATGGATTTTTTGGTGCAGGTAAATGACAAGAACTTGAAGGCTATCATTTCCTAACTCCACTTGTTCTTCTTGTATTTGCTCTGCCGAAGTCACAGCCGAAGGGCTAGCGTCGTCCAAGTCTATGATTTTAAGCGTTGGTATATCTCCAATACTCCTTGGGATCTCCTCTAGATTGAAACATCCGCTAATAATTAGGTGCTCAAGGCCTGGGAAGTGAGTCTCATCAGCTCTCCAATGCTTTAGATGTAATTGCTCAAGTCGAAGAAATTTTAGTTTGCAAAATTCTCCTTCTGTTGGCTTCCATTCTGGCCCATCAAAGGCGTCATGTTTCAGTTTGAGCACTTCAAGATTTGGCATTGTACCAACAATAGTCATATGTTTCCAAGGAATTTTGCAAAAGGTTAAAGTTAACTTTTTGATATTTGGTGGGAAAGTGAAATTCATCGGGACACTCACATCAACGCATATTATTTTCAGCTTCTCAAGTTCGGGAAGATTAACAAGATTACCTAGAGAGAAGCTTGTCATTCCAAGTCCCATAATTCCTAACCTTTTTAAATTTGGAACTCTTTCGAAAACCTCCTTGGTACAGCTGCAATTATCCAATCTCGACAATGTTACAAGGTTACCTAGAACTAAATTCTCCCCATCGATTGGTGATCTAGCAGGGCATGGCAAATAACACTTCCCGAATAGGAGATGCCTTAATTGTGGCATCCTCTATCTTTCCCCTGGTACTTGTACTTCTTCACAATCTACAATTAATGTCTGTAGATACCACAGAAAATTAGG